AAAAATACATGTTGCATGCATTTAGGAATTAGTGGTACATTTAGGAATTAATTAACCATAATTTGGTTAAAAGAAAATCACAAAAAAATATGCATGTGTATTTCTTGTCATTGTGTGAATTTATTTTTAATTTGTGTGTAATTATTATAGGTGTTAAATAATATGTGTGTAATTTTATTTTTTGATTTTACAATTTATTTAGGATTTTTGTTTAATTTTGATAATTAAAGAAAGAAGGAAAATGGGTGAAGTATCAAGGAAACTCAGATTGGGCCAGGTGAAACCAAAAATTTAGGCCCAAACCAATTACATTGACCCAGTCCAAACCAGGTCTTCTAGAGACGCCCCCCAAATGACGCCGCATAGGGCGTTTGATCTGAGCCGTCCATCCAATCCAATCCAACGGTCCAAGATCCCTTTCAGCAACCCGTCTCNTTGGACCCAAACCCAGGCCCAAAACAGCCCCCAGATCCGGTCCAATTTGGGCAAGCTTTGAGACGCCTCAGACGGCGTCGTATTGGCCCTATTAATCAGAGCCATTGGATTAAATCGATCCAACAGCCAGGATTTCATCTCCTTACCCGTTACCTGAACCCGACCCGTTTCCCGGTTCGAACCGACCCCCCTACTTAAACCAAACGACGCTGTGTTGGTTAACTCCCCTAATCCTGGCCATCGATCTTGATTGATCCAGAGGCCAGGATTAAACCACCCACCCCATATAAAAACCCCCAATCCATCACCCCACGCCCCAAACCAAACCCCCCCTCACCTACTGTTCATCCTCGTCCCCAGAAACTCCCATGAAAACCCTAGCCGCCCCCATATCCCTTCGCTTGAAAGCCGGCGGCAACGATGTCGGTGACCACGAAATTCACACCACGGAACCCCCTAATCACCCTCAACCCAAATCCCTTGCCCGTTTAGTTTGAATCTCAACCGAGCTCTTCGAATCTTGAATCAAAAGAACCAGCCGGAAACCTTACCTCCTCCGATGACTACCAAAATAACACCCCTGATGCACCCAACCACCCTGAACACGAATCCGTTAGCCTCTTGCCTCAAATTATTCCCCATCGTCTCGAATCTTCGTTTGAAGGTTCGAACAAAACCAGATCTACACCCACCGACCCCAAATTCATACCACAACACCTCCTGACCTCCCTCACACCCTAAACGCCGTTGGTTCCGTTTGAATCTGACCAGAGCTGAACAAATCCCAAATCGGACCACAAAGAACCCTAAAAAGACCAAAAGTTGAAGTCTGTCCAAATTAAAAGACGATGTGGGGTCTAATCGACATTAGTCGAAGTGTTCTCAGTTGAGAACACTCGATTAAGGTCCATTCGACCCCAAAAATGGTCGAGTCCGAGTTCGAGCCTGGGTTAGTTTTTGAGTTCAAATCCCTGAGGTAATTTTTCCCTTTCTTTTGTTCTCCTATGAATTCTATCTGTTTTTCATGTTTAGTTTGGTTTGTTTTTGATTTTTCTGTCAAGTCTGTGAATCCTGAGGTAATGTTTAGTTTGTTTTGGTGTTTTATTGATTGTTTGCTGTATATTATAGCTTGTATAGTCGTTTAAATAAGTGTCGTAAATTAATTTGCTTGAAAATTAGAGGAAACAGGACAGTAGCTCAGTAATGTCCTCCATGTATGTTTGCTAGCACCACATCTGTATGCTAACTTGTAATGAATCTGTTGAATTGTTCAGTTTTGTCTTTGAACTAGACTACTCATTCGTTCAGTAACCTCATGATCTTCATAGTCTGCTATGGAAGCCTGTTCATTACTGCTTTTGATCTTAGCCTGATTGGCTGTTTCCTGTTTGCATTTTGGCTCTGAGTTGGTCAGGTTTGGCTCCCAATATGACCAACTCATACCATTTGATTGGCACCCCTGTTTGATTGAGTTTGAATCATTGGCTGAACTTAGGCTGAAAGTTGGGTATAGCTGTAGAAATCTAATAGATCAACCTGAAATCAGTATTGAGTTTAAGCTAATTAGTTAGTAGTCAGTGATTAGTTGAATTTAGAGGGGTTTATATACTGACTATTAAGAGCTAGGGTAATACAGTAATATGCAAGGGTTAAGGGGTAATTTTGGGAGTTTAGTAGCATGTTAACAGGTTGTAAAGCTGAGGTCTGCCTAGGGGTTATTTGTAAACTTAGTTTAATTGTCAGTGGGGTATACAACATGAGGGCATGGGTTTATTTGAATACTATAACCCCTCCCATGGCTCTTGATTAAAACAAATAGGACAAGTATGGGGAACAATATAGTGGGCATCAAGAAAAGACATTTAAGCATGGGCATTGTTGATTAGTTTAAAGGGGTATTGGCAGAGGGGAAATGCATCCTGGGGGCTTGCCATTTCTAGCTTATAAATAGGTTGATTTAGAATTAAGAGGGGGTGGACAGTTTTAAGTTTGGAGAGAGAAAAGAAAAGCAAAAAAACAAGGCTGATCTTTCCACCTTTGGCTGGACATTTTTAAGTTTTCAGAGAGAAAAAAAAAGCAAAAACAAGGCTGGTCTTTCAACCTTTAGAGGACAGTCTGTTTTCAGAGTGACATAGAGTTAAGAGTGTGCTGGATTTTGAACATAACAATCAGAGGCTACTGCGGTTTGCATCTGTTTCCTTCTCTGGATTGC